GTTCTCATGTGTATGTTTAGGTGAGCTCTATAGCGGAAACTTTTTCCGCAGGTTTTACAAGAGTACGGCTTCTCACCTGTGTGAGTTCTCATGTGAAACACCAAATTATCCTGACGACAGAAACTTTTCCCACATGATCCACAAATATATGGCTTTTCCTCTACGTGAATTGCTGTGTGCCTCTTGTGTTTTGATGTGTCAGAAAATCTTTTCCCACAGGTGTTACAAACATATGGCTTGTCATCTGTGTGAGTTCTCATGTGACGCACCAACTTATCCTGACGACAGAAACTTTTCCCACATGTTCCACAAGAAAATGGTTTTTCCTCTTCGTGGATTGCTGTGTGCCTTTTATGCATTGATGTGTCAGAAAATCGTTTTCCACAGGTGTTGCACACGTATGGTTTCTCACCTGTGTGCGTTCTTGTGTGGATTTTCAGAGATGTGCGAGAAGTGTAGCTGTTTCCACATGTTGTACAAAAATACGGCTTTACACATGTGTGAGTTCTCATGTGGATTGTTAAAGTATCTCCTCTACTGAAACTTTTTCCGCAGGTTTTACAGGAGTACGGCTTCTCACCTGTGTGAGTTCTCATGTGGACTTTTAGCTGAGATCTTTTGCTGAAACGTTTCTCACATGACTTACAAGCAAACGGCTTCCCATCTATATGACTGCTGTAATGTTTCTTCATGTCATACCTATTTTTAAAGGTTTTTCCACAGACCTCACATGTGAAAGTCTTTTTCCCTGTGTCAGTTTCACAATGACTCTCAGCCATGGGAGTGTTGTCTACATTGTTACTGTGACTGTTGTTTCTGTGAGGTGTCTTCATTGGCTTCAGCTCTGCATTTGTAGTTGGTCCTAAGCCTGCATGCTTGCTTCTTTCCTCATCTGACCTCTCAGCTACAAAAAAGTTGTGACAGAGTAGCTGGTAACTGTTTGGTTCTGTGTCACTGTGGTCCTTTTCCTTAGAAGTAGGAGTTGCTATAAAGGTATCACTCTGCTGATTCTGCATAAGCAGCTCTCCTTCAAGACTGGTGCAGAGTACCTCCTGTTCCTCTTTAATCTGTGGAGGCTCTGGGCCCTCCTGGTCCAGACTGGTGAGGATTTCCTCTTGTTCCTCTTTCATCTGTGGAGGCTCTGGGTCCTCCTGGTCCAGACTGGTGCAGAGTCCCTCCTGTTCCTCTTTCATCTGTGGAGGCTCTGGGTCCTCCTGGTCCAGACTGGTGCAGAGNTTTTATGTTTATACTATGAATATATTTTCAGAGTTACAGGTGGTCAAAGTTCAGAGGTGAAGGCACTTGATTTCAACAGTTCAACAGGGTCTTTCATCCCTGAAAATGTCATGTCTATATCCTATACTTGATGAAGTATTAAGAGCTCAAAGATTATTTAAAAAATATTGCAAATTAAAACGTGCCCTCACCTATGAACTTTGAGATCCTGTAACTTGGAAAATATTCTTCATTTGAAGGTAAAAAGTTTGGTTTCATGAAATATACTAGTTATTGTTATAGCTGGGCCCATAAACAATACTGAACCCATATCTTCGATATAATTAACATCAGTAAGGCTGATAAGCTTTGGACATTTTTACTCGATATGAAAAGATCTATCAGCCAATCACACTGCTGCAACACACATGATAAGAGCTAATCCATCACAAGTGAGGGACAAATGAATGAAACCACAGAGACAGGAGTCTCTGCAGAGTGGAGTGGAGAGGGCAGAATCTCTACAGGTAAATACTTCTACACACACTGACAGTGGGTCAGAAGTGATGATTCAAGGAGATCATATATTATTATTGTTGAGTCTATATATAATTTGTCTACAAAAAAGTAGCTTACCTTTAAACTGCCCTTTAAAAAATGTACTGTTTTTTCATTTTGCTTACTGCTCTGGTTTTGTGCAGCAAAAATGTGTACAAAATGTGCTGATCGCAAAGTTGATCATGAAAATACCTTTAGATCATAAATCCCAAGGAACTCCCGCAGTGCCTCCGCTGTCTTGCCTGTCCGTGATGCCTTCTGCCTGTACAAGGCGATCAGTCGTGGTGTGTGTCTGTCAAGCTCTGAATAGAACTGGCTGCGTAAGTTCACGTTGGTTATTCGATGGAACTCAGCAAACACCTGGGAAAATCACACATAAAAAACACATTGAAAACATCCAAATGAATATGTGTAGGATACTGTAACAAATGTTTGAGGATAGGCAGATTAAGAACAGTACAGTCGTTACCTGTGCCTCCAGTCTTAAGGCTGGCCAGTTTTGCAAAAAGTCCCTCACCGGAAGATCTCCCTTAACAATATCTTGTCGACGAAGAGCAAAGGTTGTCTGCATCAGTTTCTCTATCAGTAACTGGTCTCTTTCAGTCTTTTCAGCTTCTTGTATAATTTGTACTCTCATCTGTTCCAGTGTAGCCCGGTTCTCCCCTCTCGGAAAGTTGGGAAGAAAGTTAACTTCAGAATGCCGGGCTCTTTTAATGTTGAAATGGGGATGCTCACTCTCAGGGTTGTTTTTGCTCCTCCTGCCAGTGTTAACAGACACCTCTGCACACCCAGATCTGGCCAGCTTTGCACGATAATTCCCCATCTTGAACTTCAAACCGACCTTCCATCCATACCATCCACTGTCACTTCCAAGCTCTCTGAGGCATGGGTGTGCAGTAATTAGAGCTTCAGCTGCCTTACCCACTTCCCTGTCATTTGGGTATGGTTTGAAGCTGTGCATTGTTTCAGCCATTTTTTCCAGAATGTTGTGCTTCTGGGATCTTGTCAATTTCAGTGTCTTTCCAGACATTTCAAAGGCACTGTTGCTTTCTTCAAGTACATGTTCCACTTCAAAAGAAAAAGTTGGCACAGGAAAAGAATCAGGCCAATTCTTCTGACGCTGTGTTAAAGGTACATGCGGAAGTATGTCTGTATCGGAACTTGCAGTGGAAGCGTCATCACTTTCGGATCTAATGACTTTCAGTGTGCCCTTCTCTGGCAATTCCTCAATGTCCACAAGTACACTTAGCTGCCCATCAAAGTCAGGATCCTCATATTGTAGGCTGAAGTCACCGTCCAGTCTTGGCTTGAATTTCTCTTGCATTATGCTTTTTAGCTCTTCTACTGACTTTGGTCGCTCATTCAGAATGAGCTTCATGGCAACATCTGTAGCAACATACACACGTAGAACAAATTTCTGTGGAGCAGCCATGTCCTCCTTTGTGAGAGAGTTCTGTATTACACACAGAGAGAAGATTAATGTAGTTTGTTTAACAACATTTATACATACACATCGATAAAGAACAAGAATTGTAGTAGCTTTGTTGTTTCTATCAATCATGTAAGCTACCACTGGTAATATACGGTATGTTGTAAGAAGTAATTTTCTTTTCAGAAGATTAATATGTATCTTTTTGGGGTTATGAGCAGTCTTCCCTGAATGTTGTATGCAGAGAGAGGTGATGCATCATTGAGCTCTGACAGGGTGTGAACTCTTAAATTCCCTGACAAAAGTTCATATGATCGCAGGTGTTCAATGTAGTATGATTTGTGTTCTCGACAAAGAAAAACAACCTCATTGCTAACAAGAAGAATCTGTTCAATTTTGCTAAACTGAGACAGTTTTCCCTCCTGTCCCACAGACACAAACATTCCTACATCATAATCAGTGCCATCAATGTTGACCCTTGATGTGCTGTAAATCATGTTGCTGTCTGTTTTTTGTGCAACATATGCCTTTGCAATGTCAGGAAGCATTGAAACCATCACAGAAGAGACATTAGATGTCTGCTGGTGAGGTTTAAAGAATGATGGGGCACTGAGATAGTATGCCATCATGTACTGGTGCTTGTTTGCCAAAGTTTTTAGTACATTCTTAAAGTTTTGTGTGTCATGAACCACACGCTTGAAAAAGCGATGTTTGCCCTCAAATCTCATTGTCCACAGGTGGACAAGTGGCCCAAAACAGCGTATGAGATCAGGGTAATGTTCGATGTAGTGATGTTTTGGGCGGAGTGTGAAATGAGGAAAAACCTCCTGCAGTATTTGTCTATGGTCCTGTATCTTTGTTTGCAAATACTGGATTGTTTCCTCTGTAAATGTCATGGACAGCACCAACTGAACTATCTCTTTCAAGTCCATGAGTACTGCCCATGCTCCATCTCCCTCTGGAATTTTATCACCAATAATCAAAGGAAGTAGTGTGAGCAATGTAGCATTTTCGTGGCCATTGCCACCAATTGTGTTCTTTCCAGCAAATGTTTTTGGGATAGGCTTGGGTTTGTCAACCTTGTCTGAGTGCTGGTATGGAAATGACGCAATTCTTTTGTTTAAATCCTCAAGAGTGAAGTGTTTGCAACGGATCATCTTTCCAATACACATGGCCAGCTCTACAGGCACAATGCCCTCAAAAAGATCATGCAGGGCATCGGGTGGGAAACCAGTGACTGTATGAAAATATGTTAACCTCTGATTAAGGACACAATCTTCTTGGACACCACACGGATCCTGACCCTCCTCATGCATCACAGCACGTACGTTACGGTCATGGCTGGCTTTTGTCCTCATACTGAATTCCCTACCTCCAACTTCATAAGACTGCATTTGGTCTTGAGTAGCTGTGCAGAATCTGCAAAAATATTTGGATCTGAAAGACTTGGTAAAGCCTGCTAACCCATGGGCTGCAAGATTGTCTGACACCACACACATGACAGTGCCCCGAACTGCCTTACCAATGGACTCAATGAATACCCCATCTTGTTCAAGAGTACAAAGGTCTTGTAACAGAGGACGAAGTACTCTTTCATAGCCAAATCTCTGAATGTCAGAAACTTTACACAACACTGCTAGCTGAATCACATGCAAGGCTGATCTGTATTTGCTCGGCAGATCAGCAAGTACCCAGTACACTGCACTTAGCTTGTGGATTTTCTTTGATGTGCCAAGTGGATTTGCTAATTCAAGATCATCAATGTACAAAAGGAGAGGCAGTGTTAGCTCCTCTGAAGATGACAATAATTCATTAGCTTGGAAATATGAGCCATCTCTGTGGCTCACATAATGACCTTGTACCATCTTTGTTTC